CTGCTGCTGTTGGTGCTGCTGTTGCTGCTGTACCTGCTGACTATGCTGTTGCTTCTGCTGATTGTAGGGGTGGTGCTCCTGCTGTCGGGTCTAGTGCTGGTGCTGCTGTTGCTGCTGCTGCTATTAATCTTGCTGCTGCTGCTGCTGTTGCTGCTGCTGCTGTTGCTGCTGCATGCATGCATGCGTTTTGTTTGTGGTTTTGTTTTTTTTTTGTTAGCTGTCGAATGTCTCCGTGTCTTGGCTGCTGGCGGTGTTGCTGCTGCCGCTGCTGTATCTCCTCACCCCCCTCTATCACGACCCCACGCGCATGCACCGGCAGCAGCTGCAGCAGCAGCTGCAGCAGCTGCAGCAGCAGCAGAAGCAGCAGAAGCAGCAGCAGCAGGAGCAGTGCAAGGATGGATCCGTTATGCAGGGGAAAGTGTGCGAGCAAGGAGATAAAAAAGCAGCAGCAGCAGCAGCAGCAGATGCAGCAGCAGCAGCAGATGCAGCGAGCAGCAGCACAGCAGCAGCAGATGCAGCAGATAGGCTGCAGCAGCAACTGAAGCTGCAGCAGCAGAGACACAAACGCTTGCTGCTGCGAAAAGCATCTCTTGTCTTCCTCACCAGTTTGCTGCTGCTGCTGCTGCTGGACGTTGAGCCCCTCACGGTACTCTTCTATTCGCATGCAGCTGCTGCTGCTGCTGCTGCTGCTGCTGCTGTTGCTGCTGCTGCTGCTGCTGCTGCCAATGTTGTTGCTACTGCTGCTGCTGCTGCTGCTGCTTCTACTATTACTACTAGGCCTACTGCTGCTGCAGCTACTGCAACATTTGCGGTTGCTGCTACTACTTATACCACCGCTGCTGCTGCTGCTACTGGTGTTGCTGCTGCTGCTGCTGCTGCATGCATTTGTTTCCAGGATATAAGGTCTGGCCTGCTAGCAGCAGCAGCANTGCTGCTGCTGCTGCTGCTGCATGCATTTGTTTCCAGGATATAAGGTCTGGCCTGCTAGCAGCAGCAGCAAAGTATGCGGGAGCTGCAGCAGCAGCAATCAGAAGCAGGAGCAGCATCAGCAGCAAGAACCCTTCTCCCGAGCTGCTGCTGCAGTGGCTGAGCTCTGGCGTGCTGCAGCAGCAGCTGCTGCAGCAGCAGGCAATGCCATTCAATGCAGCAGCAGCAGTTGCTGCTGGAGATGCAGCAGCACCTGTGTTTGCTGCTGCTGCTGGCTCTGCTGCTGCTGATACTGCTGCGTGGAGTGTACAGGCAGCAGATGCTGCAGTATGGGGTCTCGGGCTGCAGCAGCAGCAGCAGCAGGGGGGGGTGCAGCAGCAGCTGCTGCCGCAGCTGCTGCAGCTGCTGCTGCCGACTCGCCCCAACAGCTTGCTGCTGCTGCTGTATAGCCTGGGTAGAGATTTCGCATGCATCAGCAGCAGCAGCTTTTTGCTGCTTGTCTTTGGTTTGCTGCCGCTTGTCTTCGTNGAGATTTCGCATGCATCAGCAGCAGCAGCTTTTTGCTGCTTGTCTTTGGTTTGCTGCCGCTTGTCTTCGTATACTTTCTTGTGCTGCTGCTGCTGCCAGCTTGAGGTGTATATACACCTCACGTACCTTCCTGCTGCTGCTGCTGCTGCAGCAACAGCTGCTGCTGCTGCAGCAGCAGCAGCAGCAGCAGCAGCAGCAAACTCCTAGAACCTCTTAATCTTTACTTTGACAGACACAGATGACACTGCAGCAGCAACAGCAGCAGCAGCAGCAGCTGCTGCTGCTGCTGCTAAACAACCTAAACCCTAAACCCTAAAACCCTAAAACCCTAAACCCTTTTTCTTTCTCTTTTGTCTGTTTTTTTTTTTGTTTTTTTTCTCTCTATTCCTTCTCCCCCCGCTAGTGTTTATTATTTGTTTATTTTATATTTATTTCTTTCATTCTATTTATATCTATCTCTTTATCTATTTGTCTCTCTATCTATAGATCTCAATATATATATATATATATATATATATAT